AACCTCCCGTAGGTTTACATTTATACAACCAAACCCTTTTTTTTCTCTAAGTGATTAGGGTTATAAATAAGTATTTTATCGTTAATCTATTTTCAAGATTTCTAATTGTTTTACTCTTATTTACAACCCTCATTAAAGGCTGTTATATGGGCGGTAAATGTGTGCAAAAACGTTGAAAGTGCTTGCTGGTATGAAGATGGTTTAGACAATTGGAAAATAAAATAAAACCATCAATATAAACGTTCAGCTTGGGTACCCTGCCTTGTCTGGAAATGTTATAAATATCGACCAACTTGACCTAGAATTGTTAAACCAAGTTAAGAACATTCCCGTGGCGTTACCGTCTTCCTAATTAAGGCTTAGGGCTTAATTAGTTCATTTTAAAAGTTTCAATGAAAATAAGGAAAAAATAACAATTTCACCTTTGAAATACTTTAAACTTTTAATATACTATTTTTTGTTGTTATAACGGTCTTTGATAATGGGTTTTAGTTAACGACGGATAATTGATCAATAGATTTCGTCGACGAAAACCGAAACAATAGTTGTGAAAACAGTTAAAAGCAGATTTCTTTATCAGATGCAATCAAGAATCAAAATATAGGCGAAATCTTGATAAGATAGAAAATAAAAACATTTACTTTGGTTTCTTTGTTGAACCTTGTGTGGGTGAATAGATGGACATTTGACATGTTGATACAAATTAAAATTGAGATGAAAGAATTTCTATGGATCATGAATTACAAAGATTGGACAAGAAAGGTGGCATTTGCTTTAGAAATTTGATCATGATAACTGTATGGCATTCATTATTAAAAAACAAAAACAGTAATTCAAATTTTGCAAGTTCTTTCACAAAAAAAGCGTCCAGGACCGCATAAGTGTAGGAGTCAGTTAGATCAAACTAAAAGCCAAGACACTTTAAAGTCAACCCAATCTTTAAGCTAAAAATAAACGCAACTTTGCACCACAGCTGTCTGGATCTCTTGTCCTATCTGTGTTGTTTCTATCAGCCTATTGGTAATTTGTATTCAACTCGTGTTTCTGTAGTTTTCTTTTACAGGTCAATGACTATATAGATTAATTTATCTAACAATGTGTACAATATAAATAACGCAGTAAAATAAATTTCTAATTCCCAGATTTTTGTGATAAAAACATTAAATTTGTTTTTCTTTACTTATTAATTAGTTGGTTGACCATAAAAAAGGCATTTATGCATATCAAATAACATATTATATATTTATTGCACTGGGCGTATTATGTAAGGTTTTATTCATTAGGTTTTAATTGAAGGATTAATATTTTATTCCTAAATTAAATTTATCCAGTCAGGGTATGACCTCTACAGGATATCGAAGAAAATTTAGATTAATCATTAGGTCTGCTTAAGATAGAGATCAATGCTTTATCCTGAGATTCAATTCAGAGTTCAAAACTTTTATATTGAGATAAAGCGTTGATCTTATGCAGACGTAAAGATTAATTTAATTCGTCTCGGATATACAGATCATACCCATAAATTGGTAACAAAATTGAAAAGATCAAATACGTATCTCTCAATTTAAAAGTTATCGTGCAATGAATATCGAGATCAAACTCCGTAGATTCAAGCCATTTCACGCTAAAGTTTTGACTTCCGAGGCCGTATTTAAAGAATTTGAGCCGCGGCTCAAAAATGAGACGCGGTTCAAACATGGTTGGAATTCCACTTGAAATTGTATTCAGTGTTTCTAGATTTGAGCCGGGGCTAAATTAGAACCGGTTTTTGGTGGATCAGCGACACGGTTTAAATTCTTTAAATTCGGCTTCATATTTTAGAACGCAAAAGGTATACATCATTCGTAAATCCTATGTTGTATGTATGCTTAAAACAATCCATTTTCTTAAACCTAAGGATGCTTTACAAATAAAAAATTGCGCAGAATTAAAATTGTCAATTATAAATTCTTCACTCCGTCATTCCAGAACGGGTTTTCATTTCTAAATGTGTATTTACAAAAAGATCAAGAATGGGTATTCAACTTTAAAAGGGTTTTTACAAATAGATCAAAATAAAAATACAGCTATATAGATCAATAAATTTATGTATCTACCTAATTATATGGATATATCTCATGCAGATAGATAGACAGACAGACAAACATTTAGAAGATAATTAGATAGATAGATAGATAGCTAATTGGATAGAAGATAGATAGATAAATATAAAATAGGAAATAATAGGATAGAAGATAGATAGATGCGTAAGTACACGTAAAAAAGATTTAAAGATAATAGTTTCACTGACACTCAATATGAAGTCTTTCCACTTTTTCTTTGATCCATCCATCCTTATCAACACGCCCGAGTATCCTACTTTCTTGATTATATCTTACTAGTTTTTATTATTAAAATTTTTAACAAATCATTCAGATATTATACAACCTAAAGTCATCGATTATTTTTCGACGCATTCGTATATATATGTTAACATTTCATAATATTTGTTATTTGTTTTATATACTTAATGCACTCTGCCACGTGTAACCATTCAAAGTATCGAGAGCAGAGGCATCTGGCTGCCTACTATTTCGGCGTTTTAAGTGCATTGTATACAAAACGAATAAAAATATTATGAAATATTAACTACATACGAATGCGTCGAAAAATAATCGATGACAAAAGGTTATAATATCTGAATGATTTGTTTGAAATTAAATTGATTTTTTATGATTTTTTACGAGTCGTATATTGCAATTTTTTGGAATTTGTATGGACACTACGTTCTTCAGTATAAGTCATTTTTAACAATTTTCTCCTTATAGACGCAATAGATAGAAGTAATATTTGTAGCGATCAAAAGCGATTATTTTTCACAGTAAGCCTATACCCCCTTAATCATTTTTGCGAACACTCCCTTTAATAAACCTCTTGAATTTTTTGTAAAGATGCATTAGTCAAAATGATAAAAATACAAATCTTTAGCGAATTTTTGAATTTGAAAGACTTTAATAGACATCGAATTAGTGTTTAATTTTGTGCATATTTCTAATTTTTTTTCAATCGAAAATGTGTGTATTTTTTTCTGCATGGTGTTCATTTTGTCTTATTCTACTTCCCCTTTTTCTTTAACCCTTTGTTCAATGCACCCAATTTCTTTTTCTATTTCTTTCAATTTTCTATTCCTTCTTTGTACGCCATTTTAGTCACTACATTTTCTTTCTATTTCGGACTGTTACCAAAAAAGACTAAATCTTCAGAAATTTACGAAAAAAAATCATTTTTTTGTTTCATTTATGGTTTTTTTTCTTTGTCAAATCATAAATATACCATTCTAAGCGTATATTAAAAATGTTAAAGTATCATCCTGTGTGGATAACCCTGTATACCTACTCAGCAGGTGTGCTGCAGACCCAGTTTAGCATCACAGTATGGTTCTTTCTAATCTAATCTGACATATATGGATCTATCTATCTATCTGTATATGGATCTATCTATCTATCTGTATATGGATCTATCTATCTGTATATGGATTTACCTACCTATTTATATACAGCTTTCATATTTTAATTTTCTACTATTCAAAACATCAGCCCAAGAAGCACAGTAGGGATTCAAATACTAATTTTACCGAACTTTTAGGGTTAAATAAACATTAATATTCATTAGATGAGCTGATAAATCTAAATCATCACGCAACCAATATATATTGAAGGATTGATGGATCAAAATAAAAACATGATTAAACAAATAATACTTACAGGGTGTGACACAAAAACTGGATTTTCCGCATTTTTTTAATAAAAAATGCAAGTAAATGGAATTAATTAAATTTTAGACATTTTTAGATCTACAGTTAATATTTTAAACTCATTTTTTTACGAAATTCTTGCGGCAGATTCTTCCAGACAAATTAGTGAGATTCAGACAAAGATAGAAAAAGACAGCTATCACGCCAAACTAAAGTAAATATCACGCCAAACTAAAGTAAATATCACGCCAAACTAAAGTAAGTATCACGCCAAACTAGAGTAAATATCACGCCAAACTAGAGTAAATATCACGCCAAACTAGAGTAAATTGGACATAAAATTGAATTCTAATATGGTTTTAATAATAACTCATTGAAGAGTTCTTGATGTTTTGAATTTCCTATATTTAACCAAATAAATTAGTTTTTCTCATACATGGCGTGCATAAAATGAAAACTATACGAGGACACAAAATTGTACCAGTAATGTTGCATGAATTTTACTTTCGCCTTTTAAGTTTAAAAAACACGTGCAATATACTTTAGTTTAATGTAAAGTAGTAAAATATTTGCTTTTTAATTACATCAATTACACTTAAATACAATATAATGTCGTCTTCCTATTCATATTGTTTTCTAGTTATCCTGTATAACCCATCTAGAACTCAATGACATGCACAATTCATCACGAGATGTATTGTCTACAATGGTTACAATCTCTTACTATAGATTAGCTCAACGTTTTTGCTTTGTTTCGCACTGCATGTTTTAGTTTTGGTTTGCGCTGTAGTCAACAGAACTTTAAGCGTTGAAGTTCCATCGATTGTTTTTACAAGGGGAGTTTGTAACATCTTTCTGGAGTGAACGGGTAAATGAGGGGAGAGTGGGGAGGAGGGGATTTAATTTGTAAAATTTCTAATCTTTTTCTTTGTTCAGCTTTACAGAATTAGTATGGTAAGAGAATTTTTTTAGGTAAAAAAACATGCAAAAAGAACTTTAATACAGCTAGACATTAGATACTTTAACCGTGAATGCAATAATCAACCAAAAAAGGAGAAACAATTTTTTTTTTTAAGTTAAATATTCTTCAACATTTTTTTTGGGACTAAAATAAATTTTACCCATTACAGCTTAAGTGTAAAAAAATGATTTGCTAAACCAACGCATCTTTTTATGTTAATGCAAAAATTTATGATTATTTTGAGATCAAATTTTTATTTTCAAGAGAACATAATAAAGAAGTTTAATAAATTGAAATTATTCCTACCGATTTCATGGCGCCTGCTAAAGAGAGAAAAGAGCACTGCACCCTGGGACCTTCCTAGAGAAACTGAAATAATTTCTCGGCTCTCTTTAACCATTGGGTTCCACACTGCTTTTACTCCGCTAGATACAGATACAACTATCTATCTATCTATATATCTATTTATCTAGGATATAGTTTACAGTTATTTTTAAGCAATGAGAAATTACTAGTTAAGTTTAAATGAAATAAGATTTCTTTATATATAGTACGAGTATTTTAGGCCTTTCATTTGTTCATTTCTTTAAATATTTTTTAGTGTTTAATAATAATCATCATTTTTTTAAACTCTGCACTCATATGAAGACTTTCACTCTACATACAGTTTAATAAATATATTAGCCCTAAAAAGGGTGGAATGTCTAAACCTATGTATAGTTAGGGGTCGGGGCCTTTCGTTAAATGCATTTTCACAGACAAAATTTTCAAGGCAAGCTCATTAAAAAAAATTAATAGTTTGGGTGCTGTTTACCCTTGTTCCCTTTCCTTACTCCAGTTTTAGTAAGCTCCCGGCTTTAAGAACAAAAAGTTTTTGCTCAGGTTTAACTGTTTGTATATTGTTATTGTTTAATGAAATTGAGATGGATAGGTTACCATTTAGGGCAGATGAAATTATAGTTAGGTATAGCGGTTCAGCGGGGGCGGGAGAGGGAGGGGTAAATTCCGATTGTAGTGCCCAGTGTAGTGCAGTGCAGTGGTTTGAACTGAGAAGCGCTATCTCTTTATCCTGCGTTGAAATTCCTCCACACTCCTAGCTATAAACTAGTCAAAGAAATGGCCATGCCATCATATAGAGGATTTGCAACATTTCATTTTACTATTAGCGGGGCGGGACTTTTTTCTTCCCCCTCCTTCTATCCTCCCCCCCCTCTCAGTAGGAGATTTTTTCCTTAATCTTTTCCTCTTTTTCTTTTTTCCTTCAATTCTTTTTTTACTTTTCCAAGAATTCCCCTTTTCTTCTCTTTTATTGCTCCCTCTAATTCCTATTTATCTGACTTAGCAAAGAAACTGAACATTGGCCACAAACTCTATTTATTTTTTATATATTTTAGTATTAAAGGTTAACACTATCAAGGACAAAGTTAAATTAATAAGTAGAAGCTACGTACACTTAGTTGAACCACTTACCTTGTGCGCTAGTTCAAGTTTAAAAGAGGCGGTTAAATTAAGTCTACATAGTTCAACTACTACTTACTATTCAGTTAATTTGGTTTCAGGTAACAAAGATATATATAATATGTATGGATTCGAAATTTTGAGGCAGAGCCGCACAAATATTTGAAAATAATGAATTTGAATATAATAAATATCATATACTAGCTCTAATGCCCGGCGTTGCCCATGAAATCAAAAAAATTTAATTTTGAAATAAAAAATTTTGAAAAAAAATTTATTTTGAAGAAAAAAAATCTTATTATTTTTTATATGTTCCCCCGGGATACCCATAGGTTGCCTCAAAAAATGTAGCCAATTTGGTCCAGCCGTTTGGCTAGCTGTAGATATAACATATATACAAACAAATATATAGTTATATTTTCTAAAACTTTTACTTTATAGATTATGATCTGATAAATAGACTGAACAACCTTGCCTGATTTCTATGCAAAACCAAGGCATGAGCATTATTTAAAATGTCTCATTAGAAATTTGATAATTTTTTTATTTCAGGTTTTGCAACCCGAGAATTACTTTCTTGCAAAAACGATACATTCGTAAAAGGGAAAGTAAACGTTTTTTAAAGTGATGCTTTATTTCAAGAGTACCAATTATGAGTATACCATTAAAACATTTTTCTGAAAACTCTAGGATGTATATTTATAATTCCGACCTTAGGTTTTTATTAAAAATACGTTAAATTGCGGTAACACTCCCTTTAAAGTTGACAAGACTCCCCCCTCCCCTGTAAGAACCCCCCCCCTCTCCTAAACAGCAGGAATTAATTCTTATAAATGGACTCCTTTCACAACAATTGATAAAAGAAGTCCTTCACACTTATCTAAATGCACTCAAACAAACAAACATTGCAAAAATAAGACATGCAACACTCGTAGCTGTGAAAATTGCATAAAAATTGCAAATTCATAGTTTAATGTGTATTTAGGCACTTCAGACATAGAATTCTGTTTTTATAAAGCTTTCAGTTCTCCCAAAGTATTTTCTGGAAATAAATTTTGGAAAATTTATTTTTTATTTTTGTATTTTCCATGATTTCAGAACGTACTTCTTAAAGAAATTAGTATGTTAATTTTCCCCAGATTTCTATGATTTACTGTCAAAGTTAAATGATGATGTACCGATTAGGAGAGAAAGATTAACATAATAGAAACATCAAGATTTAAAATACAAATCTGTTCTAAATTTCTAATCTCAAAACATTTCGGGCAGTGCCTTAGAATTTAAATAAAAACTAAATTTTTGGAGTAGGATCAAAATGTGCAAGCGCTGATACATATAAAAACCGAACTAAAACAGGATAAAAAAGTTTTCGATGGATTCTTAATTTTTGAAAACATTTTAATCTTTTAATGGAATCTCTCACTGTGAAGTCTGATTTGAAGAATTAGTTTTGAATCAGATCAAATAATACTACTAATCTTGTTCTATCTATGGTAATCAGTGAGTGAATACTACTAATCTTGTTCTATCTATGGTAATCAGTGAGTGAATTGGTCAGAGCCAGGCTTTCTCTGCCATAGATGATATCAGTTCATCATAAACACAGAGTGCTCAAAAATATAGATTTCAATTTGGAAATTGATTTTAAGGTTTAAAACAGCTTTCACATGCTAAAAATTGCCTTTATTTTTATTGTTGCTGTAAATATCATTAATATACTTAGATGAAACATAAGGAACTAATATTTATGTAATTATATTTTGAAGATTCAAAAACTATATTCTTAAAAACTTATTCGGAGTAAGAATGAAATGAGCTTTCTATGATTTCTTAAACAAATTAAACTTAATTTTAATTGTGCGAATTCTTGCTACAGAAACCGAGGAGAAAATTGTGAGAATCAAACACTTTTCAAATTAGAAAAACAAATGTTTCTTCAATGGTGTCAGGGAATTGTTGTGAATTTCTGATGGTTCTCTTTAAATATCACCACAGTTTCAGTAGAAGTAAACATTTCCATTTAATGATAACACTGATTAAACGATTCATAGAATTCATATCTCTGATTGGATAATGAAAAAGATAGAAAGATAGATGTTACCGCCATGCTATTTCTATTGGTTCAGAATAGACATCAAACACACGACTGAACACTGATTGGATCAGGCGCTAATGGACTTGGCATACAGGAGTGAAATGTAGGGTCACTTGAAATCACAACGACAGTCTCTTTCAGTGGAATTCTTAAACAGAGACTTTAATTTGGATATTTTCGGTACATACTGTCTTAACCTACCCTGATTAATTACAAGATGGTATCTAGGCCTGGCTTTAATCAAGGTAAATATTCATGCTGAGAACCCGGCCCAGGAGACATATTCGCAATACTTAATGTTACAAACACATTCAGAGAGCTTCGCGACACCTCTTCAACTTTTTTTTATAAATTAGAAAATATTTTGGACGGAAACAAATAGAATAAAACGATTAAATTCTAAGGAAAAGAAACTCAGCAGAATTGCATTTTTTGCCTTTCATTTTCTAATGCTTAAATATAGTGTGGGAGGGGTGATTCAGTTGTACAGTTAGATATTTAGAATGAGTAGGATGATATAGGAGGTTGAACTAAGAAATAGATACAGAGAAACAGACATAGATACAGAGATATATACAGAGATAGATACAGAGAAACAGATATAGATACTGAGATAGATACAGAGAAAGATACAGAGATAGATACAGAGAAAGATACAGAGATGGATACAGAGATAGATACAGAGATATAGATAGAGATAGATACAGAGATAGATTCAGAGATTGATACAGAAATAGACACAGAAATAGATACAGAAATAGATACAGAGATAGACACAGAAATAGATACAGATATAGATACAGAGTTTGATACAGAGAACCAGAGATAGATACAGAGATAGATACAGAGATAGATACAGAGATAGATACAGAGATAGATACAGAGATAGATACAGAGATAGATACAGAGATAGATACAGAGATAGATACAGAGATAGATACAGAGATAGATACAGAGATAGATACAGAGATAGATACAGAGATAGATACAGAGATAGATACAGAGATAGATACAGAGATAGATACAGAGATAGATACAGAGATAGATACAGAGATAGATACAGAGATAGATACAGAGATAGATACAGAGATAGATACAGAGATAGATACAGAGATAGATACAGAGATAGATACAGAGATAGATACAGAAATAGATACAGAGATAGATGCAGAGATAGATACAGAGAAACAGAGAAAGATACAGAGATAGATACAGAGAAAGATACAGAGATGGATACAGAGATAGATACAGAAATAGATACAGAGATAGATGCACAGATAGATACAGAGAAACAGAGAAAGATACAGAGATAGATACAGAGAAAGATACAGAGATGGATACAGAGACAGATACAGAGATAGATACAGAGATAGATGCACAGATAGATACAGAGAAACAGAGAAAGATACAGAGATAGATACAGAGAAAGATACAGAAATAGATACAGAGATAGACACAGAGATAGACACAGAAATAGATACAGAGATAGATACAGAGATAGATTCAGATATAGATACAGAGTTTGATACAGAGGACCAGAGATAGATACAGAGATAGATACAGAAAAAGATTCAGAGATAGATACAGAGATAGATACAAAGATAGATACAGAGATAGATACAGAGATAGATACAGAGATAGATACAGAAATAGATACAGAAATAGATAAAGAGATAGATACAGAGATAGATACAGAAATAGATACAGAAATAGATAAAGAATTATATACAAAGATAGATTGATAGAGCAATATGTTTACATACAGTGATAGCAAGAGACAGAATTAGATACTTAGAAAAATTACTCACGTTTTGATCATTTGTCGAAATAGGGAAAATTAGGGCACGAAG